TACAGGAAGTAGCAGGTCAGGTACTACTGTGCTAACTTCCTGTCTTCCACCAGGAAACAGCCATTTAACCTAAGGACTTAGAGAAGCACCAGGGGGCGACAGTGGAGGGCGCATTCACCTGGTCAGGAACATCAAGGGCATTACCTGCCAGGGAGCGTCGGGAGTTCCTGCACAAATCACCCCACGTGAACGCGCTCTCCATTTTCTCCTAAGGAAAACTGAGGGGTGTGTTTTAAAGTTTTTAAAAGACTACAAAAATAACTACTAATGTTCTTTTTAAACTCCTCCATCATTTTGATATTTCCTGGTCAACACTATTTACCAGTATTCATGTTCTCTCTCCTCTCCTCCCCTCCCCTCCCCCCACACAGTTAGCTCTATAAGCACCTCTTCTCAAGAGACCTACTCCACAATACTCTTTAATCATGAAGATTTTAGTGACAAAAAACAAATATCAAAAGGGAGATAAGTCACATATAGAATAAGTCAAAACACTACATGGTCCTCAGATTATCACATTTATCAATTCTCAAATGAGCATTTTAATCTTTCTGAAATTATTTTTTTAAAATTCCTCCCTGAAGAAATCTGGCACTGACCAGGTAGATGCAGGCTACCGCTGAGCTGTTCACTGTCACACAAGTCACCCGCTTTGTCAGGATTCTTCTCAAGAGAAAGAATCCACTTTATATTTAAAAACTAATCGCTGTGTAAGACAGCTTCAACAAACTGTAACAACTCACAGGGAAGATGGTTCAGAACACCATGCCATCAAAGTAAAGGCAGGGGAAATTACATCTCCACAGACCAGACAGTTCTCAGCTATGGAAGGCTGGATGGAGGTTTCACGCAGCCAGCACTCTTGACAACATTCAAGATCTGCTTCAGGTTTATCTCAAGGGGAAAAAGAAAACTACATGCTTAACAGCAGAAAGTGTAATCCAACCATGCCTTCAATCTGTTTCCTTCTCACTCTCAATTTTTAAAAGTATTTTATTTACTATTTTTTATTTTATGTGCTGTGCAGTGCTCGTAGAGGTCAGAAGAGGGTGTTGGATCCCTTGGAACTGGACTTACATTTGTCAGCCACCATGTGGGTGCTGGGCATTGAACCTGGGTCCTCTGCAAGAGTAGTCAGGGCTCTCAACCACTCAATTTTAAAGAACTGAATAAGAAAAATCACTAAAAACGAACTGTCCAAACTATCCATGGCAAAAGTGACTCAGAAAAAAACTAAGGCCAGACTTGATCTTAAATTTATCTGAAAAGTATTTATATGAAGACATAGTAAAGATATGTGTAAGTAACTTCATGGACTTTTAATCTATTTCCCCGAATCCCAAAAAAGTGTTACTAAATAAGCTATGAGTCCCAATCCTCTGGCATACATGAATACAAGATGTACAGGCTACGCTGCGTTCCCTTACATTTTGAGTAGTGCTTAGACCCAGAACAAAACACTGCTCCAAGAACTGATAACAAGAACAGCAGTTCATACTGACCAACATTTTACAACATTTAGGAAGCATACGAGAAAAAGTGTGTCAAACCAAAGGCCTGTCGAAGCAGAGAACTAAAGCATAGCAAGCCAAGCAGGAACCAAGTCCACAAGCTCTTCACAGAAAGCAAAGGAAAATGACCACAAGAAACAAATTCCAATAAACGTGTCAGTGAAAAAACAAACGCAAGCTGGGCAGAGGCACATGCCTGTTGTCCTAGCACCCAGGACGCAGAGGCAGGAGAATCATAAGCTTAAAGGTAACCTGGGCTTGTAGCCCAGATCTGTCACAAAAACTGAATGGATGGATAGATGTATGGATGGGTGGATGGATAGGAGGGTGGGTGGATGCAAGAAGGGACAGCACAGAAAGACAGTAATCACTTGAGAAAAGGCAGTGCTTTAAAAGTTTCCAAATTACGCTGTGTAACTGCTGTTTTGGAACGTCTCTGTACCATGCACTGTCTTTACTCAGGCAGCCACCATGGCTCTGCAACGAGATCATGCCAGCGTGCAATCCTCAGAGCAAAGAAGGAAAGAAACTAAGGTTCCATGGAAAGAAAATTACTAAAAATGCTTCATCAGCTGGCCTAGAACTCACTATACAGACCAGGCTGGCTTGAACGCACAGAGATCCACCTGCCTCTGCCTCCCGAGTGCTGGGACTAAAAGCATGCACTACCATGCCCAGTGTATTGCTAAGTTTTAAGGACTGTTTCAAACGCTTTATAAACCATGCCACTTGAGGAATGGATAGATAGGACTGTCTAACTGAGTAAGGGGCATGTGACCGATCCATCACAAAGACTGTCACGTGGATGGACGAAGTAGGCATTCCACCAAGAAATAAAAATTCTACAGAGGATGACAGCTATCTGGACTCTTTCTACAGGTCTCCTGTAAAGACTGTAAAGTTCCTAATAACTGACTGATAAACTGGGGCTACAAACTTTTAATGTAAATACTAAATGAGAAAGTACATTCTAAAGGACTTTACTGCAAATCTAAATACACACTAGAACTGACTTTCCTGCAGTACTGGGTCTTGACCACAAGAGATTTACAAAGAGACTGATCATGGGCTTGGGAATCCTAGCCACCAGCTCTGCTTGTAGCCTCACAGTTCCTATTAAGTATGTAACTTTAGCGGAGTTTTTTGCTCCTCTGGACTCTTTTCTCACCTTTAAAATGAGGATAAAACTACATGTTTTGCAGGGCTCTTGTGAGGATTAAAGGTGATTAAAGTATGTAAACATCCAACACAGTGCTGGCACAATGGTAACCATCATCACTGCATCAGCGGGAAGCATCTCCACAGTGCATGCCAAAGGGTGTGGCGTGTGGCAAACCAGAGGGCCTGATAACATGACTCCGCTACACTTACTGTGTGACCACAATCCAAGCATACACTTTGTTTTTGTCTGGGCAACTTAAAAGGCATTTATCTTCTATACTCTGCAAAAAAGAATATAGCCTTAAAATCTTGGGGCTGGAGAAATGGCTCAGCAGTTCAGAGCACAGACTGCTCTTCCAGAGGACCCAGGCTTGTGTCCCAGCACCCATATGGCAGCTGTCTGTAACTCCAGTTTCAGAGGAACCAACACCCTCTTCTGATCTCTGTGGGCACTGCACAACACAGGTGCACTTACACACATGCAGGCAATACACTCATGCACTTAAAATAATAATTAGTAAAATACAAAGAAAAATATCCTTAAAATCTAGATAAAGCACCCTGCTGAGTAAAATACCCTGAATAAAAGTAACTTTGCAAGAATGTAAGCAGGGAGGGTGACCGCAGAGAAAGGTGATGTGGCAGGTGGGTGAGAACTGCAGAGGAGCCCAGCAGCCACCCTTCCCAGACCAGGTGTGCTGAGGAGCCCAGCAGCTGCCCCTTCCCAGACCAGGTATGCAGAGGAGGACAACAGCCTCCCCTTCCCAGACCAGGTGTGCAGAGGAGCCCAGCAGCCCCTCTTCCCAGACCAGGTGTGCAGAGGACAGCAGCCCACCCCCCAATTCCCAGACCAGGTGTGCAGAGGACAGCAGCCCCCGCCCCCCTTCCCAGACCAGGTGTGCAGAGGACAACGGCTGCCCCCACATCAGGTATGCAGAGGAACCCAGCACCTGCCCCTTCCCAGACCAGGTGTGGAGAGGAGGTACCACCCTACTTTTCATAAGCAGGAGCCATCAGTTGCATTGCTCAGAAGTGTTAGCTAAGTAAAACACAAACACTGTATTTAAAAAGCAAATGTCAGTGGGTGACGGACAATAATTAAGGGTAGGAGAGGATTCTGTTTACTCTGAACAGAATTTGAACTTTAATATTCTCCTAAATGCTGGAGACAGAACTAGAAGCCCAACAATCAGCAATTCAGACAAGCCCAGGCCTCTGTGACACTCTCTTCTCCAGGAGCACTAACTACAGGGGCAGCTCAAGAGGGATGTCTGATCTGTCACCGTGATGTATCTAAGTTTTAAAGGCAACGGCTGCATAAACACAGCTGCCTGCACACCGAATCTGAAAAACTTCCTAGTAACTACAGAACTACCGTCTCTCGGTTTCCCTAGTCGAATCAATGAGGGGCAGGAAGAAAACACTGTGGACAGCTCAGGTACTTTTTTGTATTTGATTTATAATCAATGACAGGTGATGATTTCACAATTATATCATCGATCCAGAGAAACAAGTGTAGTTAGAGAACTACACAACTAACGTAAGTTCCTACTTCTGTCCTAAATTTTATAGGTATAGAATTCAGGGAGTTGGTCCACAGGCCAGAATTTCATTAACATACTATATCATTCTGAGCACTCTACCTAAATGTATACAGTAACTGTCGTTAAGTTAAAAACAGCTACCAACAATGTTTGCTAAGTATTCCGTTTAAAATGGTGTACTGATGAAATGCTGAAAAATTATCATCATTCACATTACTTTCCATTAACACCTTTACTACTGCACAAGGCCTTAGGTTCAATCTCCAGCCCCAAGAAAAAAAAAAGGTACAAGTAAATTATAAAATCCTCTGTTGCTTAAAGGTCAAACTAAAAAGATTCAGTTGACAAGATGCAGCAGAAAGTAAGTATCCTTCGACAGCAAATTTGTTATGCTTTGTCAAAAAGACTATAAAGACGCTACTATGAAATTCGTGGTTTTAGTCAAGATGAAACGCTGTTCGTAGCATAAAACAGTACCAAAGAGGACAACCCACGCTCAAAGTCAAAGCCCCTGCGATGGGAGGGAGGGAAACTAGATAAGAGCTCCCGGAAACCAGTGAGAGCAGCCAGCGTGCGGGCAGTCAGGAATGCCCACCGTGAGACCCGCGGCAGAGACAGGGCAGGGCCGCGTCGGGCGGGGATGGAGGAAGGATGCTTCCGCACCCACAACCGAGCTCCCGACCCCGGGAAGCTGCAACGCTCGGGACTAGCAGGCAAAGCAAAGCGGGGTGCGCCGAAGGGGAGCCGAGACGGCCCCAGCCGGCGGCCGGGGTGGGGGGCTCACCGTGGTAATCCTTCTGCCCGATGTTGTGCGTGCGAATGAGCGACGACAGTCTCCGCACGTCCCCCTTGAAAACGCACTCGTGCACAGGGTAGAGCGCGGGCCCGGTGCCTCCGTCGGCGACCAGGGCCGGGCAGGCGGGGGGCGGCGGGGTCGGGGCGCCGGGGGGCGCGCGCAGCTGCTGCCGATGGTGGTGGCTGAAGATCCTGGCGCAGGCCCTGCCGCCCTTGCCGCCGGTCCTGGCCCCGGTGAAGGCGCCGCCGAGCGCGGCCGCCGCCTCGTCGTCGCCGGGCTCCAGCAGCTCTCCGTCCTCCTTGCTGGGCTTGTGGTCCCTCCGCAGAGAGCGGATCTTCTCGCCGGTCATTGCCGCGGCGCAGGGCGGGCTGCGGGAGGCTCAGCGCGGGCAGGGCCGGCGCGCCGGGCGATCAGAGAGGCGGCCGCGAGCCTCGCGCGCAGCATGAACTCCCCGGGCGCCCGCGGGCCCTCGACACGCGCATCTCCCGGAGGCGGCGGCCCTGGCCTCGGAAGGCCGGGAGGGTCGGGGCCACTAGAGCACGACGCTGGGCCCCCCGCCGCCGCCGCCGCCGCCGCCGCCACCGCCGCAGCCTCACACGGAGAGACCTGGCGCGGCCATCTTCGCCCGGCTTCTCGCGCGAAAGCTCCGCCGGAAGCGCGCCGTACGTGGGCGGCCCACTCCCGCCCTCGGGTCCTATGTCCGGACAGCACCCGAGCCCCACGCGCACAGTTCCGCCCTCCGCCGGATAGCGCGGGTGGGAGACCCCGACCTGCCAAGCGGAGGCCTGGGCCCGCGAAGAAGACGGTCGAGCCCAGTTTCGAACTCGGCCTTAAACCCTCCGGCTTGGGCCCTTCCCCCAGAGCCAAGCGGAAAGACGCCGCGGCTCGCCGGATGTGACGTCAGTGAGCTGCGCTGACCTCTCATTCTGTAAACATTGGCTAAGCACCTAGTTGGTGCTCTGCCCAGAGTTCGTAACAGGTTCTGAAAACTGGCCAGGAGCTGCAGAAGAGGAAAGATGGCCCGGTCTGGGGCGTGATAGGCGTGCGACCGACGGAGGGATGCAGGGATGCGGTCCAGGAAAGGAAGAGGCAGATCAGTGCCGGAACAGTGATGTGGATGAGAGCAAGAACCACGACGCAGTGAGGCTAGGAAAAGGCTGAGTCTTTTCAAAACGAGTGCAAGCAGCTCATTGAATTGAAGGTTTTGGTCACAGTGAGGTAGATGGCATGTATTTTGTACATTTGAACACAACTTCTTAGGAAGTAAAGAACGGAGTTTAAACCATATTTGGGAGATATACAGTTACTGATGCCCCAAAAGTGGCTGGGTTCTCCAGAGAAGAGTGTGTAAAGTGAGAGATTAAGTGTTGCAGAACAAAACCTTGAAAACTCCGTAAAGGTATGTTTAGAATGAGCCGCTAGGATAATCGGGGGAAATAGAATACACAGAAAGAGAGGGAGAGAATTGTGAAAGAGCTAAAAAATACTTTGAAAATCCAGGCTAAGCATGGTGGCTCACATCTATAATCCCAGCACTCCAGAGACTAAGGCAGGATGATCACCTAGACTCAGTACCAGTCTAACTTCGTAGTAAAGGCCAGGGGTGTCTGTGCTACAGAGAGAGCCCCCCCCAAATAAATTGATGGCTTACAAGATTTGCTCACTTTCAAGTGTGAGGACCCGAGTTTGATCCCCAGAACCCACACAGCAGGAGAGACCCCACTTCACAACTTGTTCTCTCACCTCCACACAAGTATACACAAATGCTTTTTTAAAAAACTATTAAAAAGATGATTAATAGGTAGGTAGGTAGGTGAGTAGGTAGATGCACCTAATTACTGGCTACCACCCCTTGATTGATGTAAAATAAGCATCTCCAGTGAAATCAAACACCATAAATATATATGAATATATATAATATGTATATTCAGACAGTCTAGTATGGTTGGTGCATGACTGTAATCCCAGCACTCAGTAGTTAAGAGACAGGAAGATCACAAGTTCCAGGCCAGCCTGGTTTACACAGCAAGTTGCAAGCGAATAGGGATATACAGGTAGACCTAGCCTCAAATAAATACATATATTTTTTTCAGCCCTTTAAGGGCTCACAGTATATAACAGGGGAAACATGACATAGATGTATGAGATTACAAAGCAAGAAAAAGACAAGATCTGAAATTATATAAGATCCCAATAGAACAGAGGAGGAAGCTACTAATTCAACATTGAGGAAACAAGTCAGATGATGAGAAAATCCGAGGAAGTAATACCTGAACTAGACTTTAAAGGACTTCCTGAAAATTCACTCTTCACTCTAAAGAAGCAACCTGTTAACCGTCGTTCTATCCTCTCATGCCTCCAGTGCCTTTGCTCGAGCTCTTTGTATGTCCAGAGCTCACGATCCCACCACCTCGATAACCAGCCCTTCAGCATGTCAAGAAGCAAGTCACATTATTTCTCCTCTCTGCACCATGGTTCTTGTTTTGTTTACTTGGCATAGAAGTTGGGGTCAGGAAACTACATTGAACTAAACCACAACATAAAATGTAGCATCTCCTTTTATTCAGCCACAAACCACAACATCAGCGTTAGCAGTATTCTGCTATTTGCAACCAGACAAGATGAGAAATATCTTCAAATTCTATTACAGTTGCTGCAGATAACAAAATATCTTTTAATGTTCCTTACTACCTAAAATTTATATTAGGTCCAGCTAGATCTTGTTTCCTAATGACATGGATGAATATATTACTAGATCACAAATTTGTTTTTAGAATATTCTACAGCAATTTCAATACACTATATCCCTTTGTGGTTCATTTATACACCCAGAAAAGTTTATTCTGAAAATGGATGACTAGGGTTCACTGTAGCATCAAAGTGGTAGGCATCAGGAAAACAGGCATTAAGAACCCTTCTTGAACCCGGCGTGGTGGCGCAAGCCTTTAATCCCAGCACTTGGGAGGCAGAGGTGGGAGGATCTCTGTGAGTTCAAGGCCAGCCTGGTCTACATAGTGAGTTCCAGGACAGCTGGGGCTACAGGGAGACCCTGTCTCAAAAAGACCAAAAAAAAAAGAACCCTTCTTGGAACTCACTTCCCTCTCTGACTACCCCACCTTCTGGTTAGTGCCAGTCCCCCTCGCCCTTCTCTCTCCATTAGAAATTTTCATGTGCCTCCTGGACTTTCTACTGTCTCAGCTGGTTGTTTGACTTCCACTGCAGCTGTGTTTATCACTGCTGTTGTCTGGGTGCTGGCCAGCTACACAGCTCCATGATGCTGCCTGTAGCAGTGTGTGGGGTTCTTTTCAATGTAAAATCTGGATTCTTGACTGCCCCATGGGGTCTGGGTGGGGGAATTCAGGACCAGCCAGGATAAGGCAAAACTGTGAGTTTATTAAGAAATCTTTTTTATCTTTTTGGAACAGGGTCTTCTTGTAGCCCCACCTGCCCTGGGAGCTGGAGACCATGCTGGCCTGGATCTCATAGAGAGCTGCCTGTCTCTGCCTCCTGAGTTCTGGGATTAAAGATGAGCACCACCACACCTGGCTACAAGAAATTTTGACCTATTTAAACACAGGAGTCAATACAAAGAGAAGCACTTAGGAAAAGGCTAGAACATACTTGAGTGTGGGTGAGGGCTCCTCAAGAGAGTCACAGTTAAGTATCCTAGCAGTAGCCATATCTGAATTAGTCGCTCCTAACATTACATTGTCCAAAGGGTTTCCAAGGAACTCTTTTTCCTCTTTCTAGCAAATGAGATCATTAAGTGGTTCCTGGGGTGCCTTAGATAGGATCATAATCTGATTAGATAAAACAGTGGGTCACAAAAGTTGTACAAGGTGTCTTTTAATGTAAATGGAGATTATACTCTTGCTTGTGGGTGCTGATTTGCAGGTTTACAGCTGGGAAAGGAAAAAAGTCAACTTGGTCATATACCCTTTAGACTTAAAATGGTTCATTTCTATTTTAACATTCTTATTTGAAGTATGTCTACATAATATCTTCTCTGTTTAGACGACCGTCTAGCAGATTTAATTGGCTGTACTGAAATTCATTCTTGATTCTCAGCTGGCGAGAGACCAACCAGACTCCAGAGTAAGAGGCTCCTTCCCTTCCTGTCACCTGTGTTTTTATCCCGCTTCAATTTCGACACAGTGCCTTACAGAAAAAATGCTTACTATTGATAATAAACAATGTTAAACTAATCAGTTAAAACATAAAATCCTAAAGTAGATGCAGTGCCAACATAACTGAGAACTGTGATAAAATACTAAATAAACTTCTTAAATAATCCCAATCTTTCTGGGTGAAAACAACTGGATTTTTATACCAAGCCCAAGTACACATATATTATTTAGGACTGTTTTGTTTTATTTTGCTTTGTTGTGTTTTGTTTCCATCTAGAAGTAACAGTAAGTGTAATTGAAACTGGCTTAAAAGTATGTAATAACTTGCATAGCAGAAAGGCTCACAGAAGAGTGGCCCCTTCAAACCCCACATCAGTGTCCCTCAGTCAAGGTAAACCCCTCCCCTATCCTAACCTTGGGAATATCTCCTTAGGCCAGCCTCCTTCAAGGACACAAGATGGTGAGCTGCAGTGACAACCTCTGCTTCCTCTGTGGAAAGGGGATGATTAGTGTTGGCAGATCAGAACAAGCGCTGAGTGGGCTGTGTGGCCACGCCCTCACAATGGCAGAACCATGCCATAATAGGGGTTAGATGGGAAGGACAGAGACAGAATCCAAGAGCCAGCAGAAAAAGTATGTTACTAACACCCAGAGACCAAGGGGAAGATGGAACCAGAGGTAGGGAGAGGGGAGGATGGGAGGGCAGTTAGCACAGTGCTGCGAATAAAATATGAAAATGTCTGGGTGTGTCGTTAATAACTTTACAAACAAAACAACATTAATTTTTAGTGAAATGTTGATAACATGCATTCAGTCCAAATTTGGTATAGCTAAGAATCCAAATTGTGGGCCAGCAAGCTGGCAGGTAAAGACAGTTGCTGGTAAACTTGATGTCCTGGGTTCAAGACCAAACACACAAACACATACACACACACACACACACACACACACACATACAATTAAATAATAAATGAAAAACAACTTTTAAAAAGAGTTTAAATTATACCTAATTTGCTTTCAAAATCCTTCTGGTCAGTGGCTATCTCCCAACTTTTTGCATTTATTTATTTTTGTGGGCATTCACATGGCATAGCACATGTAGAGAACAGAGGGCAATTTGTGGAAGTCCATTCTCTCCCTCTATGTATGTTCTAGGAATTGAACTCAGGTCCTCAGGCTTGGCAGCAAGCCCCTTTACTCACTAAGTCACCTCACTGACATTCTATTAACTATTTTAAAACAAAGTTTCATTAGATGCCT